CTCCAGTGCGTTAATAAATTATGAAGGAAACCTTGAGAAGAATTAAGGTGGCATCACAGAGTACTCACATAATTACAGCTTTTTTGGCTCCTCAAACAGGATAAAATTTTACGCTGTTTTTTGCTTCCCTAATTTTGAGTCACCAGCACGTTAAAATACGCACATCAGACCGGAACGACGCCCGGCTCGTTAACATCATACTCACTGCATTTTTTATTAGTCTTCAACTACAAACTTTTTGCTTTTTTCTGCTAGCATCGAAGTTAATTTTGAAAGCAGTATTCAAAAAAACAGCTGAAAATGGCTAGCTTTAATGTCATCGCATTTCTCTAATGGTAAAAAACGTTTTTGCAAATTCTCTGGTCAAAAATTTGAACAAATACGGTAGCCCCCAAAAGCAGCAAAAATTTTGTTGAAAACTTCCTGATATAAGTAATCTCAACATTGCTACCACGCATGATTAAGGCAGTATCCGGATTCATTTGATAGTAGTAAGAGACAGATGACCTACTTGTGAATCTGTGGGTGAGAGTGCCGAAAAAGTGGTGTTGAAGAAACAGCTAGGTGCAATCAAAAACTGAGCGGAAAAAGTAGAATTCGCAAAAATAAACATGTCATCCGTTCCGAATTTCATTTTAACTTCCTTACCCAAACATAGCGTTGAAGCAGAAAGAGAGAATTTAAAAAATAGCAATTTTCGCGCTTGAGGCTGCGTACAATTAGTATTGAATAAACTTATTCCAGAACATTAAGCTAGTGTTCAAATTAAGAAGCTGAAATGATAAGAAAAAAGACCATCAAAGTCTAGTATAATGATCCTCAAAAAAATTCTTGCACAGCCCCATTCCCTCTTACAATTGGATATCAGGCAAAGACTAATCAGGAACTCCGAGAGTAGAAAAAAGTCTTCAAGTACATCTTCGAACCGTTTTAAAACTAGAAGGAATTACAACTGGCAAAGTTTTTTATAACACTTCCGACTAACTAGTGTGACTATTTTAGCTTACTATAAATGGAACTGCTAAGGAATTACCATCAAGTCATTGCCAGTCAAGACTTTTTTGACCCATTGGTAAGCCCTGAACTTTCAGAGAATACCTCTCAATCTTCGTTGTTGAAGAAATAGCCTAATCAGTACATATTCCAACGCAACAAGCAAAAGTGGTGTACAACAAATGACTTAACATGACTCAGAAAATGAAATACATTTAGAACACTGCAGTCGAAAAGCTTGAATAGTTCTTCATGTGATGATACGGTATGTATTTCCAGTGATTCCTTAATATATTACTACAATTTCAATTCCTCAGCTGGTCATTTTTTTATTATAAGCTACGACTGCATACAATATTAAAGTACAAGTATTAGATATTAAGATCACAAAGCCACAAAAGGAATTCTCAAATCTCAGAAAATTTCTAAGAAC